GTGTACAATTGTTGCTCCTATTGGGAAATGATGTTGGTAACAGACCATATTTATTTATTTAACATTTATATAGAGCTTACTACACACCAGACACTATTCTAAATATAAACAGGACTTTATAAAAATTAATTCATATAATCCTCTAAAACTCTGTGGTATATACCTTCATTCCCTCCATTTTACAGAAGAAACTGTGGCACAGAGAGGTGAAGTAATTTGCTCAAGGTCCCACAGCTAGGAAATGGCAGAGCCAGGAGTCCAGCCCAGGTGCTCTGGCTCCGCTTCCAACCCCAATGCCAAATGCCACATCCCCTGCGTTCTGCCAGCGGTGCCATCTCTGATACGTGACTAGGTCTCTTCTGTACTGAGAAGGGGCCTCGTGTCTAACACCACAGCCTGCACCCCTGCCCCGGTTCCTACAAAATCTCTGCTCAAAAGCAGCCTGTCAGTACTGATGGCAACACCTCCTTTTGTCTAAGCTCTTCCCAGGCCGCTGGCAGCCACTCCAAGCACTCAGTGTCCTCTGTGCCTTTCTTCTATTGCCCTGAGGTCCTTCTCCTTACAGCATTGCCACACACAAGCTGTTTTGGTTCCTGCTCTCTCCCCGCGCCCTGCCTCACTGCCAGTTGTTACAAGCTGTTTTAAACGCTTGCAAGTATCACGTTTTCCACTCATGTGTGGAAGCGCACCACGTGCCACACTGAGCTGAGTGCTGAAGACGAGGTGAACCTGGCCAGAACCCTGACCTCTCCAGAGACTTTGAGCTAGAGGCCACGTCCCCGCCCTTTCAGCTTTGAGCCCTCCCTCTCAGCCCCAAGCAGGCGCAAAGCTGGCATTCAATGAACATTCATTTATTTAGCAAATGTTTATTGAGTGCTTTCTACATACCAGGCAAAGCAGTGATAGGTGTCAAGGATATGGCGGGAAACCAGACATGAGCAGGGTCCTCACGGCTCCCCGGGCGCCGGGCGAGCCTCAGCTTGCACCCCGGCTCCTCCGCAAGGGCTCAGGAAGGGAACAGCGGGGAGAGGTGGGGAACAAGGGGATGCAGGCCACGGGAAGGGGCGGCGAAAAGAGCCACAGCGCGAGGCCAGAGAGGCTGGCGTGGCATCGGGCCAGGGCGACCCCTCTGTCTCGAAACCCAGACGCTGTCACACACTTGCCGCAGCTGCTTCGGGGACCCCCTCGAAGGGAAAGCAGAGCTTGTCAAGGCAAGACTGTCTGGGAGGAAGACGGCTGAACCGTGCGTGCGCGGCCGGGGGTTGGGAAGAGACGGAGAGAGAGAGAGAGCGAACTCTCCAGTTCGCTGCCCAAACTCTGGGGCCTGGATTCCAATCCTGGCCTATTGCTTACCTGTTGTGTGACCTTGCGCAACTCATTTAACCTTTCTAGAATTCACTTACATAATCAGTTAAATGGGTGTCCCATAACCTTAAGATTGGTGCGAGAATTAAAAGAGAGAACGCCCGGTAAAGCTTCCCTAGCATGGTTCCTGGCACGTAGCAAACGCTCCCGGAGCGGAGGTTGTAATTACCGGCTGCTCACACCTCGCTGGGTCCCCTGGCCTCCCCCGGGCCCGGGCGCCCGCGGCTCTCTCGCAAGGGACCGACGACTAGCCTATTAGAGCGCGCCCTGCCTTGATAGATTTATTTGCTTGCTCGGGGCGGGGTTGGAAAGAGGCGAGGAGGGGAAGAAGGTGGTGGAAGGCAATGAAAGGGAAGAAGCGGCGGAGAGGGAGGCGAGCGAGGCGGGGCCGGGGAGGAGTTGGGCTGGGTTCGTGGGCCCGGGCGCAGCGCGCACGCGGAGCCCGCGGCGGGGGGGCGGGGGTGGCGCGCGGCGGTGGCCAATGGCGCGCGGCGCTGCGGCGGGGGCGGTGCAGGAACACCCGGCCGCTGACAGCCAAACTCACCAACTCCGCCCTCGTCCCCGCGGGATCCCGGAGCCCGAGCCGGCCTGGGGCCGAGGCCGCCGGAACCGCGCTGCCAGCGAACATGGCAGCAGAATGAGAAGGCTGGGGCCGGGTCGTGGCTGCTGCCGCCGCCGCGCTGCAGCTCGAAATCCGCGCCCGGCGCCCTCCGAGCCGCATGCTTAGCTGGCCTCCTGGTGGCCGCTGGATTATTTCATTGGGAGCGGAGAGCGGGGAGAAAGGGGACCCTGCCGCCGAGCCGGTCCGTGCTCTGGCACGGTGTAGAGGCTTGTGCGTACGAGTCGCCGGCTGCGGAAACGACGCGGGAGAGAGCCGGTCCTGGGCTGCGGCGGCGCGGGCGCGGGGATGAGCCGGCCATGGAGCCGCCTCGGCTGGGCGCACGGAGCCGGCCGGCGCTGCGCCGGGGGCGCCGCCTGAGCCGGGGCTCCGCGGGGCTTTGGGGCCTCGGGCGCCCTGGGGGGATCCCTTCCGCCGCCTCTGGGAAGGACGGGAGCCCCGCGTGGCGGACACTGCAGCAGTCACCGTTCTGAGGCGCCCCGAGCCTGCTCCGCCTGCAGCTCGGTGCGCTCTCGGCACCCGGGCGTCTTGCCCGGTGCACGGCGGCTGGCGCACCGCGGCGAGCCGGGTGCAGGGCTGGCTAGAGGGGTGTGTGTGCGCGTGTTCGACTGGAGATCCGAGCTAAAGCAGAACCAGGCGGACCTGAGCAGCCATGCTTCCCGGGGTGGGCGTGTTCGGCACCAGCCTCACGGCCCGTGTCATCATCCCGCTGCTGAAAGACGAGGGCTTCGCGGTGAAGGCGCTGTGGGGCCGTACGCAGGAAGAAGCGGAGGAGCTGGCCAAGGAGATGAGCGTCCCCTTCTACACCAGCCGCATTGACGAGGTGCTGTTGCACCAGGACGTGGACTTGGTGTGCATCAACCTGCCGCCGCCCCTCACCAGGCAGATCGCTGTCAAAACCCTGGGTGAGCGACCCCCCTCTCCCACCTCCCCTTCAGCCTTCTCTCCTTTCCTTCTCTGCTGCTTTTCTCCTCTTGCCCCCTCTTCATCCCAGAAGCTTACATGGCACCTACCCTGACTTGGGGACTTGAGATCCCACATCCCACTCGGAGCTCCCTCCTTCCTCCACCCTGGCCTTCCCACCTCTGCGCTTCCCTCCTCCCTTCTGACACCTCCCGGACGCGCTTCCCCACGTGTGTGGCGCGGAGGCTGGAGGAGGCGTGTGTTCCGGCGATGGGGGACGAGGCCGGATGGGACGCTGAGGACTGGGGATGGGCTGCTCTGAGGGAGAGAAAACTAAGACCCCAGCTGTGTGGTGCCCGAGTGTGTGCGTGCGTGCGCGCCTGTGAGAGGCGAGTGCGCGCCCAGGAACGCCTGAATAAAGGGCCCCCAGACGTGTCTTGGGTTTTCCTAGGGGCGCTAGACTGCCTGACGTTTAGCAGCTGTGGCGCCCTGCTAGGATATTTTGTTTCTTTCTACTGTGAGTTAGTTTAGTGTGAGATTAGAGATGTGACAATCCGCTGGAATTATTTCGTCTTCGCTGAAAGCAAGGATGGCGGGAGTGGTTGGATGGGGGTTGGGGGGAATCTACTGGGAAGTCTTCAGGGGGATCATAGGTTAGTAAAGACGGGTTTGATAAAACCAGAGGAATTTAACTTTTCAGTGCGGCAGCCTAGGAATTGTTTTCTGCGCAGATTTGGAGTTATAGATGTTAAATTTTTAGGGGATAGGCGTACTAGTTCCAGAGGCACGGATGTTTTCTGTGGGAAAAGGCCCAGCGCTGCCAGTTTCCTCTGGAAGCATGCAATGGTTCCTCCTTAATTCCTTAAATCCTTGGTGTTGACTAGCCGGTTGGGGATGAGTTCACCACGCCTCACCATCCCGGCTACTCTTCTCACCCAGGCAGTCTGAGCAGCCTCACAGAGTATCAGCATCTCTGCGATGCCCAGAGGAAAAAAAAGTGCATGTTTTGTCCATCAGCAGTTCTCACACACACCTAAGACAATCCCAGGAAGATTATACACTCCTTACTCTCTGGAGAAAATGTATTGCCCACCCTTGAAAGTTGGAATTGTTATTGATGAGGAAAGGGACAAAGCATATGGCACAGGATGCCACATTAGACAAGAGTTACAAGGAAAGGACTGGAAGGAACAGGGACAGCACCCAGAAACCAATGGTAATTTATGTAATCTTGGAAAGAATGTTCTATTTTTAAAAACAGGTATGAGTTCAGGGCAGGTGAAATGTACATATATTTTAATTCTGTCTTTAGAGGCCTATGACCAGAGTGTAAAACTCTTTCTCCCGAGAAAACCATTTTTATCAGGCCATTCTGCTGTTGACTCAGATGGGACATCTGATAGCATTCCTAAGGAGGCTGCCTAAGGCTGTCAGTTTTCACGTCAGTTTTATTAAGCTTCTGACCTTTGTTGCCTGGTGTCTTGGGCCTTGAATTGAATGTCATTGGGTTCTGGCTAATGTTTCTTTTCTGTTTGATCTAACATATATGTTGGGTGGCTAACCTCTGTGCTTACAGTGGGTGGATCTGTGCATATCCCATAGATTATAGCCATCCTATAGCATAAATCTATTAGGGAAATTATTTGAAACAGGTCCATCTTGAGCCCCATCTCTACTAGAGGGCTTATGACTGGTCATATCAGAAAGCCCTTGTTGTAACATCCCTTCTCCCCTCTATGGCAGCACAGTCCTGTGAGTCAGACCCACAGAGCAACCCTAGAGCATGTCTCCAGGAGAGTGGCAATTTGGGAAACAAGGATATTCCTGTTTTCTGACTATCTCTGGTACTTTAGCCGTGGAAGTATTTGGGGACTCGGGCTTCAAGAGAAGTGGCACAAATTATACATTTCTGGATCCATCTTCTGTTCTTATTTTCAAATATCTCAATGTCTTTTTTTTTCCCTGGCAAGACTAATGTGAGTTACCTCTTCAAAACCAAGTGTGAGAGGCATAAGAAATAGAGTTAGTTTAATAATCGTGACTAAGGAATAGGGTTTTGTTCATGTTTCCTTGGTAGGCATTAGATTTTTTTTTTTTTAAATTCCTGACTTGCAGGTAATTTGAGATAGTCTGTGATTATAGAAAATGTAGAGGTGTTGGGTTTAGATGTGGCTGGACTTGAGTCTCGTTCCTGACTTCATCTTCACTGGAAAATCCCCGGAGGTCACTTGCCTTCACATCATGCCTGTGAGTTCACAGCGGGGTGGTCGTCTTCGTTTGCTTTGCTGTCACCGTTAGAGGTTCAACACCCACACAGCACAGGAAGTGGAAAACCCCAAGCAGTTACTGGGCTGGTCTGGCCGTTGGGGGTTTAGAGTGCTAGTGTTGGCCTGGAATTGAAACATGCCCATCTTGACTAACGCTGATGAGCTGTCCTTCTCTTAGCAAAGGCTTTGACTTGCTTGCCCAGCAATGGTGAGAGATCTGTGGCCCTCCATCCGTACTCATGACTTGTCACAGGCCTGTCACAATGAGGGGCTGCTCTAGGGCCAGAGAGGAATGGAGCAATTGAATCACACACATCCTCCTTCAATTTCTAAAAATTTCCTTGAAATCCCTACCTTAGTGAACTAGGCGTTTCTCTGTTGCAGAGACTTTTCTACAGTGTATAATTTCTACAATGACCAGGGCTGCCTCTTGTTAAGTACCACCATGTGCCAGGCAACGTGGTAGGTGCTGTGCAGAAAACATTTCATTTCATGATTAAAATAATCTCCTAAGATAGATATTAGCCCTGTTTCACAAACGAGGCAACTAAAATTCAGAGACCTGAGTCGAATTGCTCAAGGACATACAGCTAGACATTTGAAAACATTCTGCCTCCCCCGGAGTCATTTCTTTCTCTTCCGTCCCGTAAATTTGCTCCTTTGCCTCAGTTGCTTCTCTTAGATAATGGTGGGCCAGGTGAGATTGTTGGAGTTATCCTTTAATTCCTGTTTACCCACCTCATGGAATCAGTTCCCATACCTGGTTGATGCCATCTCCTAACCCCTCTTGTATCTGTTCCGTCTTCTGCATCAGTGCTTCCTCCGTGGGAGGAGCGAGGCCCTCACCTAGTTTCTGAATTAGGTTCCAGCCTGCCCCTCCCACCCCTGCCTCTCTCCACCTTCCACGCTGCTGCCCGAGTTATTGCAGTTGAAGAACTGCAGACCCGATCGTGTCACTGCTCCTCCCTTTCATCACTTCTAGGGAAAGGCTCAACTTCTTGGCAGGACAGGCAAGAGCTGCTGGCCATCTCGAAGCCCATGAGCTTCAGCTAAACCAAACTACTGGTGTTTCCTTGAATGGACCCTGTTTGATGATATGTCCATGCCTGTTGGGAACACGCTTCGGCCTTGCGTTTGTGACAGATGCCTGTTCATCCTTCGAGACTCAGCCCCAGGCTTACCTCCTCCCCGAATTCTTCCCCTTCCTCAGTCCCACCCCCTACATACCCTTCTGTGGTCTCAGCACTACATGCCCCGTCTTTTCTTGCACCTATTTTAGTGCATTTGTTTAAAATTTACATTTTACTTATGTTGAATAGGTTAGATATTCATATGGTACAGATTTCAAATGCTATAAAAGTACACAGTGAAGAGTAAGTGTCCCCCAGACCCTGTCCTTTAACTGGAGGGAATCATTGTTACCAGCTGTTTATGTCTACTTTTGAAGATTTTTCTAGGTATGTACTGGCAAATATCAGTGTGAGAATTTTTAAAATCTTTTTTATGCTATTGGTAACATCCCGTACATACTGTTATATACCTTGCTTTTGTCATGCAACAATATTATCTTAAAAACTTATATATACATATATACATGTATAGTCGTGTGTCACATAACAATGTTTTGGTCAACAACAGACTGCATATATGACGGTGGTCCTATAAGATTAGTACCATATAGCCTATGTGTAGTAGGCTATACCACCTAGGTTTGTGTCAGTACACTCTGTGATGTTTGCACGACGAAATCACCTAATGGCATATTTCGTTAAGCAGTGCATGCGTATACATACGTATATATATATAAAAAACTCAATGTGAAAGTATCCTTGTTCCTCTTTTTGGCTGCATACTATTTCATTGTACAGATAAATTAAAATTTATTTAAGCAGTTCCTTATTACTCAACATTTAGGTTGTTTCATCTTTTGCTTATACAAACATGTAATGAATGATCTAGAGCATATGTCATTTTACACAAGTGCCAGTCTGCTTGTAGGATAAATACATGAACTGCTGGTCAAAAAGGATGTGCTCATTTCATTTAACAAAGACATTCCCAAATTAACTGGCATCTGAAATGACATTGCATTTTGTTGATTTCCTTGTGTGCCTCCCTCTGCAACTGCTTGACTGCCAGGTGCCTGAAGGCAGCCAGGGATGGTCTCGCTCGACTTTGTATCCAGAGCAGCACAGCGTGCAGCACCCAGCACAACTCCCCAGCCAGCGTTTGGGGTCAGTCAAAACACATCTCCAATTTGTCCTCCTGCAGTGGGCCACTGCATCTAGACTATACAGTAAGCCGCCCGACTGCCTCCTTAGGTCCACTCTTGTTTCTTATCCAGTCTAGTCTCTATCCAAGAGGTAAGTGACATATACATACATATATGGCATTGTGTCACTCCCTGCTCAGAACCTTTCAGTGGCTCCTGTGGCACTTGGAACCACATTCAAGCTCCTTGCTGTGACTTAACTTGGCCTGAAATGGCTTTGCCTAGAATTCTCTCCCACCTCTTCATTCCACTGCATGCTCTCCTGGGCTCACCATTCTCCAGGCACTTGGGCCTTTTGTGTTCCTCAAACACACCAACCCGTTTCTCGACTCTGGACCTGCATAGGCTGGCTCTTCCCTCTGCCTGGAAGGTTCTCTCCTCATTCTTTGGAATGGCTAGCTCATTCACACTTTCAGGTTTCAGCTTTAATGTTATATCAGGAGAGAGGCCTTTATGATCCTCC